CAGCTGCAGGTGGGGAGCTTCCTGTCTTCTTCAGTTTTCAAATAAACTTGCTGCTTTTCAGCTTGGTTTTTATTTCTTAGTCTATTTAGGAAATATGTTGACTTCGCAAATTGCCCTCTTCCTTCACATTTTATAATTGCATGAATCGTGTTCAATGCACCAGGGACTTGGGCATGCCCTGCGCTTGCTGTAGTGCTCACACCAGTTTCCTGGCAATCAGTCACTCACCCAACAGATACTTAGTGGCTCCCACCTCTGGTCTCAGGGTGTTGTGTTTGGATCAGAAGGTCCCCAAGAGGCTCCTGTGTCGAGGCCTGGTCCCTGGAGCAGGTTCAGAGGTAGAGTTTTTAGGCAGTGACAGGATCGTGACAGCAGTGACCTATCCAGGTGATGGGCTGATCATCTGAATGGAAGACCAGGCGGGGCCCACAGGTGGGGCATGGCGGGGAGAGGGGGTCACTGGAGCTGCCCTTGGGGACCGCCTCTGGTTGCTGGCTCTTCTCTGACCCCCTGCTTCCTGGCTGCTGTGCTCTGAGCTGCTTTCCTCCCGGTGCCCTTCAGCCACAAGCTGGGCATCAGCGCACCTTGAGCCCAGACCATCCTTCCTCCCCTGAGTCGCCCTGGTCGGGTGCTGGGTCACCGCGAGGCAGAGCTGAGCCCAGGAGGCGCCTCTGTGGCTGTCCTGCGCACTGTTGACGCTGGTGGGCAGAAGCCCTGCTCTCTTGCCAACAGGATTTCCTAACTACTGAGGTCCCTGTGGACCAGGGGGCCAGGCCTCGGTGGAGCTGGGGCCGTGTGGAGGGCAGGCCCCTGTGAGTTGGGATAGCGAGTAGGGTGCCCAGGAAAGGGACAGGCGCCCTCAAGGCAGGCCCTGTCTCAGAGGCCCCTGGTGTCCTGAGGAGTCCTAGAGCAGCAGGCTGTGGGCAAGGTGGTGCCAGGGACCTGGAGTCCCAGCGCAAGCCTCATGTGCCGCCGGGCATGGCCCCTCTACGGAAGTCTGTCTGACAATCACATCACCACAGCGCCCGCTTCTCAGCCTGATTCCTGTCCCCGGAGACCAGGTTCACGTCCCCACAGCCCAGAGACCCCAGAGGCTGCTCACTCCCTCTCCCTGAAAGAGCTCCCCGGCTACTAGTGCTCTGCCTGGGTCCTGGAAAGTCAGCCCTGGACAGGGCCTGGCCGACCACACACGGTCAGTCTCCACCTCAGCAGCCCCATCACTGGACTGCTTCACAAGGGCCTGTGGTCTGAAGTTTTTGCCTCAGCTCTGCCCCAAGTGTCCTCTTACCTCATTCCTTGAAGAGTCCAATAGGATGTGCAGGGGCTGCTGGCACCCTGCTGACCTGCGCTCCAGAGCAGGCAGTGTGGCCCTGAGGGCTGACCCTCTGACCTGCGCTCCAGAGCAGGCAGTGTGGCCCTGAGAGCTGACCCTCTGACCTGCGCTATAGAGCAGACAGTGTGGCCCTGAGAGCTGACCCTGCTGACCTGCGCTATAGAGCAGGCAGTGTGGCCCTGAGGGCTGACCCTCTGACCTGCGCTCCAGAGCAGGCAGTGTGGCCCTGAGGGCTGACCCTGCTGACCTGCGCTCCAGAGCAGGCAGTGTGGCCCTGAGGGCTGACCCTCTGACCTGCGCTCCAGAGCAGGCAGTGTGGCCCTGAGAGCTGACCCTCTGACCTGCGCTCCAGAGCAGGCAGTGTGGCCCTGAGAGCTGACCCTCTGACCTGCGCTCCAGAGCAGGCAGTGTGGCCCTGAGGGCTGACCCTCTGACCTGCGCTCCAGAGCAGGCAGTGTGGCCCTGAGGGCTGACCCTCTGACCTGCGCTTCAGAGCAGGCAGTGTGGCCCTGAGGGCTGACCCTGCTGACCTGCGCTCCAGAGCAGGCAGTGTGGCCCTGAGAGCTGACCCTCTGACCTGCGCTCCAGAGCAGGCAGTGTGGCCCTGAGGGCTGACCCTCTGACCTGCGCTCCAGAGCAGGCAGTGTGGCCCTGAGGGCTGACCCTCTGACCTGCGCTATAGAGCAGGCAGTGTGGCCCTGGAGAGCTGACCCTCTGACCTGCGCTCCAGAGCAGGCAGTGTGGCCCTGAGAGCTGACCCTCTGACCTGCGCTCCAGAGCAGGCAGTGTGGCCCTGAGAGCTGACCCTCTGACCTGCGCTCCAGAGCAGGCAGTGTGGCCCTGAGAGCTGACCCTCTGACCTGTGCTCCAGAGCAGGCAGTGTGGCCCTGAGGGCTGACCCTGCTGACCTGCGCTCCAGAGCAGGCAGTGTGGCCCTGAGGGCTGACCCTCTGACCTGCGCTCCAGAGCAGGCAGTGTGGCCCTGAGGGCTGACCCTCTGACCTGCGCTCCAGAGCAGGCAGTGTGGCCCTGAGGGCTGACCCTGCTGACCTGCACTCCAGAGCAGGCAGTGTGGCCCTGAGAGCTGACCCTCTGACCTGCGCTCCAGAGCAGGCAGTGTGGCCCTGAGGGCTGACCCTCTGACCTGCGCTCCAGAGCAGGCAGTGTGGCCCTGAGGGCTGACCCTGCTGACCTGCGCTATAGAGCAGGCAGTGTGGCCCTGAGGGCTGACCCTGCTGACCTGTGCTCCAGAGCAGGCAGTGTGGCCCTGAGGGCTGACCCTGCTGACCTGCGCTCCAGAGCAGGCAGTGTGGCCCTGAGGGCTGACCCTGCTGACCTGCGCTCCAGAGCAGGCAGTGTGGCCCTGAGGGCTGACCCTGCTGACCTGCGCTATAGAGCAGGCAGTGTGGCCCTGAGGGCTGACCCTCTGACCTGCGCTCCAGAGCAGGCAGTGTGGCCCTGAGGGCTGACCCTCTGACCTGCGCTCCAGAGCAGGCAGTGTGGCCCTGAGGGCTGACCCTCTGACCTGCGCTATAGAGCAGGCAGTGTGGCCCTGAGAGCTGACCCTGCTGACCTGCGCTCCAGAGCAGGCAGTGTGGCCCTGAGGGCTGACCCTCTGACCTGCGCTCCAGAGCAGGCAGTGTGGCCCTGAGGGCTGATCCTCTGACCTGCGCTCCAGAGCAGGCAGTGTGGCCCTGAGGGCTGACCCTCTGACCTGCGCTCCAGAGCAGGCAGTGTGGCCCTGGAGAGCTGACCCTCTGACCTGCGCTCCAGAGCAGGCAGTGTGGCCCTGAGGGCTGACCCTCTGACCTGCGCTCCAGAGCAGGCAGTGTGGCCCTGGAGAGCTGACCCTCTGACCTGCGCTCCAGAGCAGGCAGTGTGGCCCTGAGAGCTGACCCTCTGACCTGCGCTCCAGAGCAGGCAGTGTGGCCCTGGAGAGCTGACCCTCTGACCTGCGCTCCAGAGCAGGCAGTGTGGCCCTGAGGGCTGACCCTGCTGACCTGCGCTCCAGAGCAGGCAGTGTGGCCCTGAGAGCTGACCCTCTGACCTGCGCTCCAGAGCAGGCAGTGTGGCCCTGAGGGCTGACCCTCTGACCTGCGCTCCAGAGCAGGCAGTCTGGCCCTGAGGGCTGACCCTCTGACCTGCGCTCCAGAGCAGGCAGTGTGGCCCTGAGGGCTGACCTCTGACCTGCGCTCCAGAGCAGGCAGTGTGGCCCTGAGGGCTGACCTCTGACCTGCGCTCCAGAGCAGGCAGTGTGGCCCTGGAGAGCTGACCCTCTGACCTGCGCTCCAGAGCAGGCAGTGTGGCCCTGGAGAGCACCCTGGGCAAACAGGGCAGAGGTGCAGGTGAGGTGGGCTCTGGACGTCCCTGGGAGAGCATCCCAGGCTGGAAGGAGTCGCACGCATCCCCTGTCTTCTTTCTGACTGTCCCGGTGTCGTCTGTGGGTGTGGAGCAGCCTGTTAATCCCGTGGTTTGGTGTGGTTGAGTGCATCAGGAACCTTGCTGATCCCACAGACAGCGCAGAGTCAGCACCTACACACATGAGCTGAGGAGGGAAAGGGAGGGGTCTCCAGAGCCCTGGGCAGGTAGGGAGGCCCGCAGCACCAAGCGGCACCCGAGAGAAGGGGACCCGCGGGGCAGAGAGATGCGGAGGGCACCCAGGAGTAGCCGGGCAGCCTCTGAAGGGAGGCCGAGGCCCTGGACCACCTGAGAAACGGGAGCGTCAGACTGAGCGCCTCCCTCTCCAAAGTCCACCTCAGAGTGCCCAAGGTGTCCTCCAGGAAGGGCTGTGGGGGGTCCTGACATTCCCGGCCTTAGCTCCCGCTCAGGCTCAGCCTGCACCCCAAGCCCTCGGGGCACATGCTCAGGTGTGCCCACTGCCCCTGCCTCGCTGGCAGATGGGGACAGAGTCTGCTGGGTGCACCTCAGGGCTCGGCACCCAGCAGAACTGCCGGAGCCGCCTCCCTCAGAACGCTCCTGGGAGCCCAAGCACGGCTGCAGGCCCCGGGGATGGGGACAGCAGCCCAGCCTTTGGCCGCCGCCCTGCTCCTCCGTGTAGCTGCCTGACGGCCCGCAGCCACCCCGGCAGCAGCCCAGCCCTCCTCCTGGTCCGCCCATCCTTCACGCCCTCCTCCGCCCACCTCTGTGCTGGGGTGGACTCGAGGCTGGAGGCCAGAGGAGGCCCCAGGGTGAGGGTCGCTTTGGCCAGGCTCTGTTGTGGTTCTGCTCCTGTGGCCTGCGGACAGATGGTGTGGGGTGGGCCTCCCTTCCCGGGGGCTCAGCACGTGGCTCCCCGGACTCAGGGACCCTCCCACACCCTAGGCACTGTCCTCCGCCATGACGTTGCCCACACACGAACACCCAGGCTGGTGGCTTCTGAGCTGTCTGTGGCCACCCCTTTTCCTGCCCCTTCCCAATCCGTGCCCTGGTGGTCCCTTGCTCAGCCAGAGCCTCTGGGGTCCACCTGCTGTTTCCCCTCATCTCAGTCATACGTGGTGAGGTGTCCAAAGGGTGACATTTCCTTTTGGTGTCACAGGGAGTGGCACTGTGACAGGGGTCCTTCTGCCTCCCAGCAGGAGCAGTGGGACCCGTGGTCCAGGGGAACGCCCTGGTATCCGGGACGTTCCCGCCGTCGCAGTGCCACAGATGTGCTGCTCCTCCTCCACAGATCGCGTTCTACGTGCTGGTGAAGGCCATCTACACCCTGGGCTACAGCGTCTCTCTGGTCTCTCTTGCCACGGGAAGCATGATCCTCTGCCTCTTCAGGTAAGCAGCGGACATCAGCAGTTCTGCCCAGAAGGGAGGCTGCCAACCTCTCCATGTGGGGTGGCACCTCTGAGGGCAGGAGGGGGTCGGCAGCCTGGCGCCCTCTGCCTGCCAGTCATGAGGTGCCTGTGGAGGGGCTCACTGGTGTGATCTAGCGCTCGGGTGTGACCCAGATACCTGGTTTCTGACCTGGGTGGGCAGTTCAGCTCCCAGGCATTAAACCCTTAGGCGTGACGCAGTGTGGAATCCCAGGCTCCGGTGGCCTCGCCCTCACCTTTGGGCTGCCGAGAGATGCTGTGTGACCCTGGACAGGTGACTCAAGCCCTCTGAGCAACTGCACCATGAGGCCCATGGAGGACCTCGATGGCCGTGAGGGTCATGTTGGTGGGTCGGAAGGCCTGCAGCAGGCGCCTCGGGGACATGCCTGGAATGAGCTGGCTGGTGCCCTCACACTGCACCCTCTGCAGGCCTCTGCTGGCTGGTGGGCACTTGCAGCCAGCGCTGGGCTTGAATTCCAGTCTTCACCCCACCACCCTGAGGCACCCACCGCCCCCAGGCACTTGGCCTTCTCCGCGCTCTCCTCACGGTGAACAGCTTGGAAATGTGGAGGGGAAAGGAGGCCTCCGTGGGCTGTGCCTGGAATTCTGCCGGCTTCCTCGACTCTCCTGCCTCCACACACCCTGGACCAGGGAGGCAGAGGGGCTGGCTCCAGGGCCACCCACTCCGGTGCCCTGGGAAGCGCTGGCCTCAGGGCGGCCGTCAGAGGCCCTGAGGGGAGGTGCTGGCAACGTGCACCTCCGCGTGTCATGGGTCCTGTTTGGTGACCCAGGAGGAGCGTTGGTGAGGCAGCTTGTTTCCTACTGTCCCTGACAAAAGTGGCTGTGTCCTGGGAGTGCGGACTTCCTACCTGTTGGGTCAGGGCACACCTCAGAGTACCTATAGAACTCTGGCTGTCAGAAGGACGGCCACCAAGATGTAAAAGGACAACCTGGAAATTTGTTTAAGTCATGGGAAGGGAAAAGACCTCAGGCTCATGGTGAGCACCTCCTGTTTGTTCCAGGTCCCTGAGATGAACTGGTGTGATAAGTGGGTGAGTATGGGTGTTACGGCACTCTGTGCCTCGTGGTCAAAGGGAGCACCCAATTAGGTCTTCCCCAGGCAGAACCCAAGAGAGACCAAGGAAGCAGTCATCAAAGGTCAAGCTCAATGCAGCGCTCAAACCAACTTGGTGGGTCTGGCAGACCCAAGAGGTGGAATAATACAGCACCCACCAGGCAGGCCAGCGTGGACACCGGAGCCCACACACCACATGAGCAGGTGCAGGATAGGGTGTGGGTGGGGTGAAAACACTAACAGGTCAGGAGCTTCTGACGCCTGAGCTGGAGGACCTCAGGGGACAGGGCAGTGGAGGCTTTGAGTGCAAGAGGAGGATGGTCAGTGCCCTGGGCAGGTGGACCCGGCAAGGCTTGCAGGGGAGCAGGAGAAAGCTGTCAGAGCCTCAGGGAGTCCTGAGGGGCTGCACAGAGGGGGCAGCGGCTGCGGGGGCAGAGGAGCTACGGCCTCCAGGAAGGCCACGAAGCCGCCCGTGTAAGTTTAATGTTCCAGTAGCTCCTTTCTAAATAGAAAGAAGTCAGTGAAATCGATTTTAATAAAACCTTTTATTTAAGTCATTAGATACAAAATACTGTGGGTTCAACACGTAACCAAGGAAGAGCACTCCAGGAGTGTGGGACACACCCGTGCCCGCGGGTCTTGGGTGCAGTTTGCTTGTGCAGCAGAGCTCAGTGTGGCTGCTGCCTGCTCCTGGAACCCCCAATCTGCATGGAGGCCCTGTAAGCACACAGCCAAACGTCACCTGAACACGAAAGGCCTTTTAGCAAGGGAATCTGGTACAAAACGTCATTTTCCTTCAGTATTCCGCTTGACATTGACAAAATCAGCTCATCTTTTTTGGAATCAATTTTTTTTTGGAGCAAAAACATACGGTTTACAAGCTTTCTGTCCAAATTAAGTGAACTTGCTGACTCTTGCTGTTAGCTTAGTCTTATTAATGTTGAGTTTAATGGAGCAATGAGTGAATTGGTATTGAACTCTAAATTTATTGTATGAAAAGAGTGTTCCTCACATTTCTATGATATTTTCCAGGTGTGTGAGCTGCTGTTCTGATCAGAGCTCTCTCCTAGTGATTGAGGCAGAATGGCATATCAGGCCATCAGTTGTGCAGGCTTCATGTCCACACAGCGCCCAGCTCCATCACAAAGGCCTGGAACACCTCTTGTTGCCCCAGGAAGTGAATCTGGCCACAGCCGAGGAGTCTTGAAGGACAGTGCCCACAGGCACTGGCCAAGGACAGGCGCTCGGGGCCTCTCCTGGTGCTGGGCTGGGCACGAACCCCCTGACTCATAGCTTTTGTGGGTGCCCTGAAAGAGCTCGACAGGAGCACACCTTCCATTGTGTCCTCCAGGGTCCACTCCTTGACGACTAAGAGGGAACTTTCCAGATTCAATATGCATTTACTGAAAACACCTCACCTTACCCACCTACCACCCCCGAACCTCAGTGTGGTGAAGAGCTCGCCGTCCTCACCACAGCGCATCCCGTCTCCGACCCGCATGGAGCTGCAGGGGTCCTCTCCAGCCTCCACACTGCCCTGCTCTGGGTGAAACCAGTGTCCCTGTGATTCTGTATCAGTAGCCACCATCATTTCAAATCGTAAAACTTACCCACACTTTTATTTTTTAAACTACAAAAATAATAATAGTTAACAAATATTTCCATTTAATACCCAAACGTGATTTACACAAATATTACTAAAACTCATGCTGTCACCAAAAACTATTCATATATTACAATCTTCCATTCATGCTTAGAAAAAAAACATGCAAACCAAGTCAATCAGTCGACATCAGCTAGGTCTGCAGCACTTACACAGGATGCCAGGAGCGCTGGTGCCCGACCCCCTGCAGAGCCTCGTGCCAAGCACACCCTGCAGACTTCCCCCACACACATACACCCCACAGAGCTCCCCACACACACACCCTGCAGAGCTCCCACACACACACCCTGCAGAGCTCCCCACACACACACCCTGCAGAACTCCCCCCACACACACACCCCACAGAGCTCCCACACACACACACACACACCCTGCAGAGCTCCCCACACACACACCCTGCAGAGCTCCCCACACACACACACACCCTGCAGAGCTCCCACACACACACACACCCTGCAGAGCTCCCACACACACACACACCCTGCAGAGCTCCCACACACACACACACCCTGCAGAGCTCCCCACACACACACCCTGCAGAACTCCCCCCACACACACACCCTGCAGAGCTCCCCACACACACACCCTGCAGAGCTCCCACACACACACCCTGCAGAGCTCCCCCACACACACACCCTGCAGAGCTCCCCACACACACACACCCCACAGAGCTCCCACACACACACACACACCCTGCAGAGCTCCCCACACACACACCCTGCAGAGCTCCCCCCACACACACAAACCCTGCAGAGCTCCCCACACACACACACACCCTGCAGAGCTCCCCCCACACACACCCTGCAGAGCTCCCCACACACACACACACCCTGCAGAGCTCCCCCCCACACACCCTGGAGAGCTCCCCACATACACACACACCCTGCAGAGCTCCCCACACACACACCCTGCAGAGCTCCCCACACACACACACACCCTGCAGAGCTCCCCACACACACACACACACCCTGCAGAGCTCCCACACACACACACACCCTGCAGAGCTCCCCACACACACACACACCCTGCAGAGCTCCCACACACACACACACACCCTGCAGAGCTCCCACACACACACACACCCTGCAGAGCTCCCCACACACACACACACACCCTGCAGAGCTCCCACACACACACACACACCCTGCAGAGCTCCCCACACACACACACACACCCTGCAGAGCTCACACACACACACACACACCCTGCAGAGCTCCCACACACACACACACCCTGCAGAGCTCCCACACACACACACACCCTGCAGAGCTCACACACACACACATACCCTGCAGAGCTCCCCACACATACCCTGCAGAGCTCCCCACACACCCTGCACCCCAGAGTGACTAGGAGAGAGGGGTGCAGTGAAGTGGGGGCATGGACCTGTGCATCTGACTTAGCACCACAGGCACCCTTCAGGAGGGGTCAGGAAGGAGATGCCTGGGGGTCTGTGGAGGTGTGGTGCTGCGCACACCATCCTCAGTACTGGTGTTCCTGGAGGAAGTCGGTGTTGGCAGAGGGCAACCTTCCCACCTGACACAGGAACCCAGACACCGTGGGGTCAGAGCTTTTGAGACCAGTGAGGATCAACAAGCTGAGGAAAGGGGGAGCCTGGGGCTGCCGCCCCCTCTCAGAGCAGAAGAATCTGGGTGTGCATGAGACTCCAAGGGGAGACGACCTCGTCAGCCTGAATCCTGGGGCTGAGCCCAAGAGGCCAGGGTGGAGGAGCAGCCCCAGTCCAGGCTCGGCCTGCCCCACCTGCACTCTGTGAGGAAGCCCACCTGTGGCTTTGCGCTAGGCGTTTATCTTGACTCTGACCTCATGAACACTCTGAAATAAGGGCAAAGACTTTGTGCAAAAACTGTTTATCATAATGCAAAACCGGAAGCAACCTAAATCTACAATGATGGGGAAATAGTTAACTAAATTAACTTCATAAGAAGAAGCCACACAGGAGATTGCTTGAGAGTCCAGAAAACCAGCGTCTGACTGTCCCTCCCCTCCCACAGGAAGCTACACTGCACCAGGAACTACATCCACCTGAACCTGTTCCTATCCTTCATCCTGAGAGCCATCTCAGTTTTGGTCAAGGATAATGTCCTCTACTCCAGCTCGGGCACCCTGCACTGCCCCGACCAGCCATCCTCATGGGTAAGGCTGTCCCCGAGGGCAGGGCTTTCCAGGGAGGGGCAAACTCCCTAGTCCTGGCCGGGCTGAGAGACTGGGACCCTAGCCCAGGGTGCAGGTCAGCAGCAGGGGGTGGCGGGGGCGTGGGGACCAGGCCTGCCGGGGCCCTGAGCCCTGACTCCACAGACTGAGCTCCAGATGCAGACGGGCCAGCAGCAGCAGCTCCAGGGTGGGAAGTGCAGCACAGTGAGTGCCGGCTCCTGAGTCTCTGAGCAGCAGGTGCTTCCATCCAGACTGCCAGAGGAGGTCCCACACAGCACCAGATCGGGGACAGGTCATGTCTGTCAATGTGCGTGTGCAACTCTGTGATGCCAGGATAGACAATGCCAGCGACTGTGTATGGAGGCGGGGCAGCTGACCCACACTGTGCCTCTGCCAAGACTGTGTTCAGGGTGCTTGTTAGGGGCCACGGAGGATCCTAGTCAAGCTAACACAGCAAATGCTCACTGGTGCCTGCTCCATGCAGGTCTTCCCAAGTCTCTCTGCTGGTGCACAGGGCCCCACATTTGGGGTTCTGGTGCCTCCCTCCTGCTGAGGCACCAGCCCTGGGGAGCTGGGCATGGGCTTGCCTCACACTCCAGGCATGTCTTCTCCATTTTGAGGGAAAGCCTGTTAGAACTCCATGGCACATCAGCGTGGGGCCATCACGGTCCCCTGCAGGAGCTCCATTTCTTCGTGGCCTGACTCATGGTGCAGGACCGGATCAACAGAGGAGTCTGTTGTCAGAACACAGTTAAAAGCAGGGTTCCCACTGGCAGTCCCCATGTCATGAGCGAGCCCTCCCTAACACAGAACATGCCTGTCTCCACACTGCCAGGTGTGGAGCAGCAGCAATTAACTGTCAGCAGTGGCTCCAAGAACACAGGTGACCTGGTGGTCACAGACGGGCAGACCCTCTTGGTTTCTAACAACTGGCTCTGGAGTCACACAGCACACACCACACAACCCTGTACAAACAGGTCCTGGAAGACTAAGAAAGGGTTAAAGTGACCAGCGGGCTGCAGAGTACTGAGCCAGGAGAAAGCAGAGCCACGGTAGGTGGTCAGGTGAGCTGTCCAAGCGGGTCCAGATGGACTTCTGCCCTTTCAGTGTCAGAGTGTCACCTCGAGGTGTGGCCATCACAGGCAGCAGAGACACACTGTGCTGAAGCTCAATAGGGACAGGAGATCAGTGGCTCGTCACCATGGTGATTTCCCCGAATGAGCCCCAAGAGGAGTGGCACCATGATGAAGTCGAGTGACGCTGTGTTTCTCGGGGGCTACTCCTTTTATGGGTCTCTGAAGGTTTGTCATCTGGAGGAGTGATGAGTTCCCATGGCTGGTGTTCTGGGTATGATTTGGAATGTCTGCACATCCAGGTGCTCGTGATGTAGTTTCTTAAGTTGGCACAAGTAAGCTCTTTATCAATCTGGGCCATATGGTGGTGCCAGGCAGATGGTGGTGTTTACTTGTACAACAAGGTGTGGAGCTTCACCACCTGGCAATTGTACTCAAAATGCAGAAGCACGTGGCAAACTACTGCTCAAAAGAATGTGTTAACTCAGGACAGGCACAGGCTGGGAGATGCTGTTCTGCACACCATGGAGTAACTCGGGGCAGGCACAGCCTGAGGACTGCTGCCCTACACACCATGGAGTCACTAGGACAGGCACAGCCTGAGGACTGCTGTCCTACACACCATGGAGTCACTAGGGCAGACACAGCCTGAGGACTGCTGTTCTACACACCATGGAGTCACTAGGGCAGGCACAGCCTGAGGACTGCTATTCTACACACCATGGAGTCACTAGGACATGCACAGCCTGAGGACTGCTGTCCTACACACCATGGAGTAACTCGGGGCAGGCACAGCCTGAGAGCTGCTGTTCTACACACCATGGAGTCACTAGGGCAGGCACAGCCTGAGGACTGCTATTCTACACACCATGGAGTCACTAGGGCAGGCACAGCCTGAGGACTGCTGTTCTACACACCATGGAGTCACTAGGGCAGGCACAGCCTGAGGACTGCTGTCCTACACACCATGGGGTCACTAGGGCAGGCACAGCCTGAGGACTGCTGTCCTACACACCATGGGGTCACTAGGGCAGGCACAGCCTGAGGACTGCTGTCCTACACACCATGGAGTCACTAGGGCAGGCACAGCCTGAGGACTGCTGTCCTACACACCATGGAGTCACTAGGGCAGGCACAGCCTGAGGACTGCTGTCCTACACACCATGGAGTCACTAGGGCAGGCACAGCCTGAGGACTGCTGTCCTACACACCATGGAGTCACTAAGTCAGGCACATCCTGAGGACTGCTGTTCTACACACCATGGATTCACCAGGGCAGGCACAGCCTGAGGACTGCTGTCCTACACACCATGGAGTCACTAGGACAGGCACAGCCTGAGGACTGCTGTCCTACACACCATGGAGTCACTAGGGCAGGCACAGCCTGAGGACTGCTGTTCTACACACCATGGAGTCACTAGGGCAGGCACAGCCTGAGGACTGCTGTGCTACACACCATGGAGTCACTAGGGCAGGCACAGCCTGAGGACTGCTGTTCTACACACCATGGAGTCACTAGGGCAGACACAGCCTGAGGACTGCTGTCCTACACACCATGGAGTCACTAGGGCAGGCACAGCCTGAGGACTGCTGTCCTACACACCATGGAGTCACTAGGGCAGGCACAGCCTGAGGACTGCTGTTCTACACACCATGGAGTCACTAGGGCAGGCACAGCCTGAGGACTGCTGTTCTACACACCATGGAGTCACTAGGGCAGGCACAGCCTGAGGACTGCTGTCCTACACACCATGGAGTCACTAGGGCAGGCACAGCCTGAGGACTGCTGTTCTACACACCATGGAGTCACTAGGGCAGGCACAGCCTGAGGACTGCTGTTCTACACACCATGTAGTCACTAGGGCAGGGGCAGCCTGAGGACTGCTGTCCTACACACCATGGAGTCACTCAGGGCAGGTGCAGCCTGAGGACTGCTGTTCTACACACCATGGAGTCACTAGGGCAGGCACAGCCTGAGGACTGCTGTTCTACACACCATGGAGTCACTAGGGCAGGCACAGCCTGAGGACTGCTGTCCTACACACCATGGAGTCACTAGGGCAGGCACAGCCTGAGGACTGCTGTTCTACACACCATGGAGTCACTAGGGCAGGCGCAGCCTGAGGACTGCTGTTCTACACCATGGAGTCACTAGGGCAGGCACAGCCCTGTCTCCACACCCTCTCCAGGTGGATGTTCTCCCAGCTCTGATGCTGACACAAGGGTCCCCGTGTGTGTAACAGCAGTGGACACAGTGCCCCAGACCCTCCCTCTGGTGGTCTCGCCCTGCTCCCCTTTGTGGTCTTGCTTAGCTCTGCGCCCAAGGAAACAGAGATCCTTGGCAGACCCCCCAGGCCCCGAGTCCCCTGGGCAGCAGCTCTCAGCTCCTCTTGCCCCTTTGACCCAAGGCCCCAGCCCTGCCTCGAGGGAGTGCCGGGCCCCTCCACAGCGAACGGGCTGGAGCAGCCCATGGCCAGCCCCTACACAGGGAATCTGCAGCCTCCCAGGCCAGGCCACTCCCATGGCTGCTGTCGGCTGGCCAGTGCCCAGTCACCTTGAAAGATCAAGGACCCTGCCCATGAGTGAGGCAACTGGGCCCTGGGTGGCAGGATCCAAACCAGGACTAGCGGCAAGTGCAGTGTTGAACGCCATGATGCCTGCCTGGAAGAGCAGCCGCGGGTGCCCAGCCGTGCCCGGCGCACTCTGGAGAACAGAGGGTGCAGCTGTGCCCCAAGCCCTGGGCCCTGCAGTTTTGAACCAGGGAGGACAGAGCAGGGAGACGAGGGCAGAGACAGCCGCAGGAGGGAGGGGCCACAGAGTGACTGGAGAACAGCCAGGCTCTGAGCCGCCAGCTGCCCTGGAGCCAGACTGGGTCCGCCCAGCGGGAAGCACCTTCTCTCCAGCTCCGTTTCTGCACGTTTTTGTTCCCACCTCGCTTCCCTGGGCCCACGTTAGCCTCGGAGAAGGTGCCAGGATAGCACCCCCAGAGCAGCAGCCGGCCTCCTGCTCAAGGTGCTGGGAGGAGCATGGAGCGTGTCAGAGCCCCCTGAGCAGGAGGCTTGTGGAGCTTCCCTGCCCTGGCTGGAGGCGGTGCGGCTTCCTCCTGGGCAGCCGCCTGCAGCAGAGCCCTCTACGCCCACCAGAGCAGGTTCCATGTGGGGCCTGCTGGACCCTGAGAAGCCCAAACCGAGGGTCACTACACCTGTGTCCTGCCTGCAGGGTCAGGGGCTGGGGCTGGACGACCACCGCCTGTTCCCCAGACTGTGAGGAGAGGATCAGGTCAGAGGTTGGGTCTAGAGCCTGGGCTGGGTCCAGGAAGAGAGCACCATAGCACACGGGGTCCTTGGCCCACAGCCCAGGGAGGAGAGCAGGGCACAGGGCGTGAACACCGTCAACATGCACACACATGCACGCGTGTGCACAGAACATGTGCACATGAAAAACACAGGTGCACCCGACACACTGTGTGCACAAACAGGTGTGCTCACAGAGGATCCAGCCAGGCACAGGTTAGAAGCTGCTGCCAACGGGCAACTGGCCTTGGCAAGCCTCCAGCTGCTGTCCCACTGTGGCCGCACTGGGGGGCCCCGTGTCACCCACCGGCCCCTCCTGCCCTTCTGATTCTGTGGACTGTGGCTTGCAGCCACAGCTGTAAAAGACAGAGCAAAGACAGGGTATGGTGCTGCCCAGACGTCCTGTCCTCACGGAGGCTGTGGCTGGTGACGGGTGTGCCAGTGGCCGCAGACGAGGCCAGGTTCCTGTCACTGTTTTAGAAGGAAGATGGTGTTGCCCTCCACACACTCTCCTCCTCATCCTGAGTCACAGTGCGTCCCCTCCCCGCGGCCTGGGAGCAGTGGCACCTCTGCCCCTGTGTTTTGCCCTGCAGACATTTCAGGCACCTCCCCGATACCTGGTGCCCTTTCTCCCATCAGGGACTCACAGGTGGGCTGGCCAGCCAGGGCGGCGGGGACCCCCAGAGCCCCTCTTCCCACAGCGGGGGCCCAGGCCTAGGTGTTGCAGACCTGCTGACTCGTGGGGGCTTTGCTTAGCCAGCTTCCCGTGGCTGTGGCCGCAAGACCTGACGGAACGATTGGCAGAGCAGGAAGTTGCTGTGTGGCTCGTGGTTTCAGAGGTTCAGTCCACAGACGGCCGACTCCGAGCTCTGGCCCAGATGAGGCAGCACGTCATGGTGGAAGAGCGTGGCGGAGTGAGGCACTCAGGATGTGACAGCGAGGAAGCAGCTCTGCTCAGCAAGGACAAAACATAGACCCCAGGCATACCCCAGGGACCCACTCCTCCAGCCACACCCCACCGCACACCGCCACCACCCAGCTCCTCTGTTCACGCGGCCGACGCAGCAGTAGGCTAAGGTCTCATGGCCCCATCTCTTCACCTCTGAACTCTCTTGCCTCGTCCCGCACATGAGTTTCTGGGGACACCTCAGGTCCAGATCATAACAGGCCTCCTGGGTCAGAGGCTCTTGTGTGTGCAGGGGTGGGGATCCCGCAGGCCCCCTCATGAGGACACTGGTCCCTGCACCAGCTCTACTCTCGCAACTGCCCTCCAGCCCAGGACGGCTCCAGCAGCATCTCCCGAGAGAGGCAGGGACACGTGACCTGGGGCACGCAGACGTGGGCGTGGGGTCTTGTGCTGTCTGTGCTGCCAGGATGGAGCCCGGGCTCCCGTGTGTGAGGCACGCATTCTCCCAGTCACTCATCCTGCTCATGTTTCATGACGGGATCTCGAATCGAGAGTGGAAAGGCAGCAGGCCACACTCAGACAGCTGCCCGCTCCCAGGAACCTCCCAGAGGTCTTAAAATTTGGTTTCTTTGGCCCACTATTCCAGTGGGTGGTGACAAGTCACAGCTTTCCTGTTTGGGTGGTTGGCTATCACAGCGTCCTTCCACTCTGTCCTGACGCCCCAGTCAGAAGGTGCTGGGATCTGCACTCCTGGAGAGCGACAGTGAGGAACAGCCGGAATCAGGGTGTTCCCCCAAGCAGGGTTCTCCAGCACCCAGCCCGGCCAAGGAGAAAGGGAGGCCGTGTAGTGAGAGGCGGAGGCCGTTTAGGGCTCAGTATTCAGGTCAGGTCCGGGCAGCCCTGCAGACCACCTCAAAAGAGCCAAGATGAAGATGCCCAAATGCATCGCCCTATGTGCAGACACAGGTGTGTCCACAGATGTGTGCACAGGTGTGTGTGCATTCATCACCGTGTGCAGACACAGGTGTGGCCACCCACATATGTGCACAGGTGTGTGTGCATTCATCACCCTATGTGCAGACACAGGTGTGGCCACCCACATATGTGCACAGGTATGTGGGTGTGCATTCATCATCCTGTGTGCTCAGACCCACACGGGCACAGGTCTGTGCAGAGGTCCGTTCACCCCCTGTGCACGTAGCCCATCTGCCCATCCAGGAGCATTTCCATAGGTAGGTGCCTATAACTGCAGGTGCAGATCTGCACCCGTCAGGGATGTTGGAAGTGCTGCTCTTCTTCAGCAAACTTTGCATACACTAAGTGATTAAGAGTAGCAATTCTACGTATGTTGAAATGCCTGGTAGGTTTATATGAAGGGAATCTGGGAGATTAAAATAGAGTTAGTTTATGTAATGCTTTTTCCCAGTGAAAACCCTTTCAGAATTCCTAGGGAAAATAGTTTATTTGCCAGATTTCTCATTTTTTCTTTATTTTTCATCTCCAAGTTTCTAAAGATTAAAACACTCTTACAAATGGGGAACTTAAAAGGTGGTCAGAACTTTGAGAGTCTCCAGCTAGTTTGCCCAGTTTTCTCCTCCCAGCGTCCACCACTGGAAGCCCTGTTGAGGGAAACAGCCGCTCTGCCCGGCCCCTTTTCCTGTCTCTGCTCGATCCAGTGTGGAGCCCAGGCCCTGAGCGACCAGGACAGGCAGCACCTGGTGTCCATGCCTCCCGGCAGGCACCTCCCTGAGCTCCCCCCCTTCCTCATCCTCCTCCCCTCCTCCCCCTCCCCCTCCCCCTCCTCAACCCCGGGTCCCAGTGGGGCAGGAGTCGAGTCCACCGTGGAGAGCCAGAGGAGCCCCTATGACCAGGCGGGAAGGTGGACCGGTGTGGAGGCGCGTGCTGAGCCTAAGGGTGGCCTGCCCAGCCCGCGCCACCTCTCAGGAGGTTGTTCACCTCCACCTCTGCCAGTATTTCTCTTGGGGAGTTCGAGGCTCTGAGCAGATAGACCCTGGCGTGGGGTGTGCAGAGGGCCTCCCTCCAACATCACACACATTCTTGGTCAGCACCACACCCTGCGTGGATCACCCCTCCCACGCAGCACCCTGGCCGTCCTTATACAAACAGAGCACTGCTGCCTGCCGCAAGCTATTTTTGTCCCGGGCACATTCTCCTGCTGTCTGTGTTGCTCCAGGTCGGCTGCAAGCTCAGCCTGGTCTTCTTCCAGTACTGCATCATGGCGAACTTCTACTGGCTCCTGGTGGAGGGGCTCTACCTGCACACCCTGCTAGTGGCCGTCCTCCCGCCCAGCAGGTGCTTCCTGGCCTATCTCCTGATCGGATGGGGTAAGGGCTCCCACCTGGCCAGCTAGCACAGAAGGCTGCACTGCAGCGTCAGGCTGTGCAGACCAGAGGTTCCTGCAGGCCACACTTGGGTGTTTCCGGTAACCAGGGTCTGAACTGTGAATGCAATTCCTGGCCCCTTTCATCCCGGGTTCAGCCTGAACTGCAAACAGGCAGCAACATGGCATTTATCTTTCCTCCCCCACCCAGTGCACAGCACATGGTGGGCACCAGGCAGAGGGCCAGAGGTGGGCAGGCTCACAAGCCAGCAGCAGAGCCGGCTCTGACCAGGGCAGGGATGCCTCTAGGTGGGGAATAGGCAGACCTGCAGACTCTGGTGTCACCGTGGCATGCTGGCCTCCGTGAAACAGACCCATCTCGGCTTGATTCCCAGCTTTCAGACATGTTTCCTCAACCCAGCTCCCTGTCAAGGCCTGAGTGTGAACACTGAGGCCAACTTTGAGCTAGACCTGCCCGTGGTCCTCGGACTGAGAAGCTACCCCAAGCGCAGGAGCTGTCTGTGTGCACAGCTGCTCCTGCCTGAGCCCCTGACGAGGCGTCTCTCTGCAGGCATCCCCACCATCTGCATAGGCGCGTGGACCGCGACCCGGCTCTCTCTAGAAGACACAGGGTGAGTGCACACACTCCTGGCCCATGGAGTGAGGCCCAGCAGTGTTGGCCGAGTGTCTGGACTGGAGGGCATGCGCCTGGGTGGAAGGACTGGAGGCTTCGTGTGTGGGCAGGGGTCTCCAGGGTGTCTGTGAAGGGGGCGTGAGAAGGGGGTTGAACCAGCCTTGTAGCTAAGACTAGGACAAAACAGGTGGAGATGGGCGGCCTCCCGAGCACAGCGCAGTCCGCCAAAGGACACTGCGCAGATGCAGCTGAGCTCTGAGATGGCATGGGCAGAGGGCTGGCTGTCCTCTTGAGAACTCTCAAGCTCCAAAGCAGCCAGGTGGGGCCAGCGCGTCTGCTCTGTCCATGGAAAGCCAGGCCATGGCCCCCGCACGAGGGCAGGGCACTCCCAGCAGGTGTGCCTCCTGCACAGCCCTGGCATCCTTCTCCCCTGGGTGATAGATCCGGAAGGTGGGCGACCTGGAAGAGTCCTGTGTTCAGCGGCTTTTCACACAGATGGCCAGCCTGGGGCCTCCTGGCAGATCTTCCAGATTGGCTCGCTCACCTGGTCACCTCTGGGTCTGTGGGGCGACTGGCTGAGTCTCCTCCTACCCCAGGTCCTGGGAGCAATCCCTAGAGCTCAGGGCCCAGCCCCAGTGCCTCACATGGTGTTGCCAAACCAGCTGGGGCCTGGGACAGGGACAGGGCCCCCGCCTCGAGAGGAGGCCGGAGCTGGTGGCAGATGCTGAAGGGCAGTGAGTACAAGCTCCCAGTGGAAACAGGCCTGGAGCTGGAAATCAGAGGTGCAGTCATTGGACCCTCCTGCCCTGTTCTGAGGGTGCTTTAGACCTTCATTCAAGATACAAGCCACAGAGTGTGAGAGGAAGCTAACTTTCAGGGGAAGCAATCCCTTCTCGTGGTGTAAACTGAGTCAAGCCCCAAACAGCTCTGGGGAGAGTCCTGGACCTTTTGGCTCACCTTGGCATCACAGGTGGTCACACTGGGTGGACAGCCCCAGACAGTCACCCCCTGGGGACAAGCCTCGGCTCGCGCCTGCAGAGCTGGGCGCCTGGGCTGGGTGAACAGCCAGCCAGGGGCGTGGCCCAGCCCGAGGCCCTCCCCAGCTGCAGCTGTGGCCAGGGTGGCAGGATTTTCCTTCCCTTCACAGCTGCTGGGACACCAACGAGCACAGCGTTCCCTGGTGGGTGATCCGGATGCCCATCCTGATCTCCATCCTGGTGAGTCGTTCCTCATTTACCTGCTGCTCTGCTCCATGGCCCAAGGGTCCTCACCAGCGGGGGTGGCCCGGCTCCACCCGGCCTTCCTCCAAAAGTCCAGGTGGCAGGCCCAGCAGGACCCTGTCACCTCTCAGGGGCCCTCTCCTCTCTGCAGGTCAACTTCATCCTCTTCATCAGCATCCTAAGGATTCTACTGCAGAAGCTGATGTCCCCCGATGTCGGCGGGAACGACCAGCCTCAGTACAAGTGAGTAGGTCCCAGAGCCGGCAGGGCCCTGTCACTGGCTGGAAGGTCCTCAGGTGCCGGTTCCCGCAGATGCAGCTGGAGCTAAGGCCAGGTCTGCTGTGTCTGGTGCTGAGAGAGGGGGCTTCCATGGAGCTCATGGGGCCCCCTGTAGTGAGAATACCCATTGGGTTTGCCAGGGCCGGTTGCAGTCCCCCTCCCCTTGGCCACTTGTCCCTCTGTTTTATGATATTTCTCCCCATCAGACTGTGCTCTGTGGCCATGTGGCCACATAGCTTCTGATGCCAGGCCGTGTCTTGGCACCACCCAGAAGGAGCCCGCTGATGGGCAGGTGATGCCCCACCCCTCACACAGAGGTGATCTGAGGAATGCCTAAGGTGCCGTGAACCTCTATCCATGATCCACACACAAAATGAAACCCCGCCCAGGCATGTGCCCAGCTGCGAGGAGCGCAGGCCCAGGTAGCTGAAGGGCTGGGAGCCACGTCCCTCAGTCACCTGACTGCCCAGCCCAGCCCCTAACCCTCTGGTGTCTGGCCTCCCTGTCCCTCCCTGGGCAAATGCGGGCATCAGGAGAAGGCTGGGGCCACAATGCTGGGGCACATCCCAACCGGGGCCTGAGGAAAGCACCTGCTCTGTCCTCCGTGTCCTTGTCTGTGAGGTGAAACATGGTCGCAAGACCCGAGGACCCGTAGAGTCAGAGCTGGGGAACTGTGTGGGGCTGGGGTCACCTGTGTCTAACTAAGGCACAGCGTGCGGAAATTCAGGAAGAAGTGTCTGTGCGGCCCACCTGGAGCCAGACTCCACCGGCTGAGTGCCCAGGCCAGAGCCGGCCCACACGGCTGTGCTGGGAGAAGCTCAGCCCCTGGCCTCAGGCCCGCAGGGGCAGGAAGCAGGGATGAGGTCACTCCTGGTCACCCATAATGGGATTTGGGTTTTCTGCAAATCTTGCTCCACAGCTGAGCTGACCTTTCCTTCGGGTTCCCTGGAAGTGGTGTGAAATCTGTCCGGAGATGGATGTTTTTATTTTGGAGACACGATTACACGGGGGTAATGAAATCTGTGCTCTTCCAGGATGGCAGGAGGGCAGAGCTGTGCTGTGCCCTGTGGGTCTCTGCAGGGAAGGGCCCAAGGTCAGCCACACCCACACTGCCTCCTGAGACCCTGGGGGCAGCAGGAATGAAAACAGGTCCCCGATCCCCTACCACATCACGCTGCCCACGGGGCCCGCTCCCACCTGCTGACCCTGGGCAAGGCACTGGGTGTGGCAGGCCCTGGGCTCAGAGATCAAGGTGCACGTTGGTGGGACGCCGGAGTCAGAGTCAGCCCGCTGGTAACGGTGCCTGCCCCCCACACTGAGGCCCACTGCAGAAGGGACCCACTCTGGCTCTGAGGAAGTTGTCTGTTAGGGGAAATCCCGCTGGTGGTAAACCCCGCAGGACACCTGTTGTGTGCCAAGGGGCGTGTACTGTCTGGAACCTGCATTCCCCAGAGGGTGAGGTTTGGAGACAGGCGTTTCCCCTGAGTGGTGTGAGGCCACGGAGGGAGGAGGGGCGGAGGGGCAGTGGCCTCGGTTTTCAGGTGAGATGGGGCTGTCTGAGGGCTTGGCTGCTGGCAGCCCTGATGCGGGCAGGAGCCAGGTCCTTCCTGGAGACCCTCACTGCTGGGTGGCACAGAGTCACCTGGGATGTTAGGCCAGGCTCCTGGCCACCCATGGGGCTGCTGTGCCCAGGCAGGGATGTAGGACTTCAGGGTGGAGATCCCTACAGGTGGCGGCAAAGCCATAGCCGTAAGCATGGTCTCACTGGGAACTGGTGAATGCCCTTCTGGGACCCCAGCTCAGAGGCTCCAGACCTGAGGGTGGGCCCGGAACCTGCTGTCTCCCCACCAGCTCCATCAGCTCAAGCTGGTGTCTGCTGCTGGCAGCGAGGAGGGCTGAGTTGGATGCATGGTGCCATTTCCAATCTGAAGCACAAGAAACTCTGTGTTTTGCCCAGGCAGGGTGACCACTCCTGGGTCTCCGTCCAGCAGAGCGGTCACTCCAGCCAGGCCACTCCATTCCACGGGGTGTGTGGAGCCTAGCAGCCAGTGACAGCATGTCCAGGGCCCATGTGTGCCCCTGGGCCTCCCTCTGCTGGTCCGCCTCTTGGTCGGAGACCAGACCCCCTGTCTAGGGCTGTTGCTGAAGGCAGTGATAAAGGACAGTGAGCCTGAGGCCACACTGGAGGGCACACAGAGGCCGGCGAGCCCCAGGCTCCCTGTGAGGGCTCTGGCCCTCGTGAGCAGTCACCAAGCCTGCAGAGAGAGGCGGGATGAGGGCCATGGCTCCCGGCGCAGGTCTCCGTGAGGAGGAAGAGCAGGGCCAGCACCCTGCCCTGCAACCTGGGAAACGACCCCATCAGGTGGGCAGGTGGGGACTCGACATCCCCTCCCTCTCCCAGGAGACTGGCCAAGTCCACGCTGCTGCTCATCCCGCTGTTTGGCGTCCACTACGTGGTGTTTGCCGCTTTCCCCATCGGCATCTCTGCCAAGTACCAGATCCTGTTGGAGCTGTGCGGCGGGTCCTTCCAGGTGGGTGCGGCCGGCAGGCGAGGGCGGGCTCCCTGGGCCGCCCTGACGCCCTCTCTCTTGCAGGGCCTGGTGGTGGCCGTTCTCTACTGCTTCCTGAACAGTGAGGTGAGGCCTGCATCACGGAGCAGGGTAGGGGAGGCTCCCACGACACCCAGTCTCCCGCCAGCCCGGGGTGGGGTTAGGGGGCAGATCCCACGACACCCAGGAGACCCCAGTCTCCCGCCAGCCCAGGGTGGGGTTAGGGGGCAGATCCCACGACACCCAGGAGACCCCAGTCTCCCGCCAGCCTGGGGTGGGGTTAGGGGGCAGCTCCCACGACACCCAGGAGACCCCAGTCTCCCGCCAGCCCAGGGTGGTGTTAGGGGGCAGCTCCCACGGCACCCAGGAGACCCCAGTCTCCCGCCAGCCCAGGGTGGGGTTAGGGGGCAGCTCCCATGACCCCTCCTGCCATGGGCCTCACTGACGGCTGCTGCTACCCACTGGGCCTCAGAGGGCAGAGGCCATACCTGCCTCTCCACCACCCTGGAGCAGCCTCAGGGGCCCTTCCTGCCAAAGCCAGGCTCCTCCCTGCAAGTGAGGCAAAACCAGAACCCAGCATCCTGCTCCCTGACCCATGACCAGGAGGCCAGAAAGCCCAGGGCCTTAGTGGGGAAGGGCAGGGACTGACCAGGAGACGTGTCAATCCCAAGATGAAGCCCGGAGTTGGTGCCCCTGTCCCCTGGTTCTGCCGCATGCTGCCCTCCCCCGCAGCCTCTCTCCATGGGCCTGTTCACTCCAGGCAGTGCCCATGTCCCCTCCGGGCTCTGCGCCTGGCACCTGGCTCCTCCCCTGGAGAAGGAAGCCCTTTGCAGACCGCGGGCAGCTGTCACGCCCTCTTGGGGAGCAGCAGCTCCTCAATGCCCACCTCTCCAGAGATGCTGCAGCCCCTCTGTCAGTCCCCAGAGGGGAAGGAAGTTGGTGAAGGCCCACGCAGGGTCCAGGAGGCTGTGCCTAGAGTGGACACGGCCGGCCCCAGCCTGGCCCCGCACCTGAGGTCACCCCGGCCCTGTTCAGCTGTCTCTGGCGTCCCCTGGGCTGATGTCTACTGCCCACCAGCACACCTTCCTCCACTGCCCCTCCTCACCACCCCAGCACCCTCCTGAGGGTAAAGCTCCCACCCAGGAGCAGAGAGGAGCGGACCTGCCCCATGCTGCTGAGGAGGGTCTTCCAGAAGTGCCTAGTGTGCCCTGAGGCCCTGGAGGCCTCTCTCAACCTCCCCAGGCTTGCAGAGTGGACTGGGTCCACTATGGCTGGGTCTCTCCTGTCCCTCCTCCCACCCTCTCTCCCACAAGACCACCTTTGTACCTCGGACTGGGATGTGGGGAAAGGGCCACAGGCTCTGTTGTCCAGAAATGGGAGGGAGAGGGGTGGTGCCCATCAGCCGGGTGGGCTCTGAGGAGGGCCTGGAGAGCGCCTGCATCCAGGCTCAGGCCTGATGAATGCCCCCCACCAGGTGCGGTGTGAGCTGCAGAGGAGGTGGCCAGGCCTAGGCCTGCACCCGCCCCAACCCAGTGGCCGGGACTACCGGCTACACAGCTGGTCCATCTCCCGGAACGGCTCAGAGAGCGCCCTGCAGACCCACCGGGGTTCCCGCACCCAATCCTTCCTGCAGACGGAGACCTCCGTCCTCTAGCCGTGCCCCCCACTGCAGAGCAGGCAGAGCTGCAGGCTGCGGTCCCCATGTGGGTGAGCTGCTTCCTCCCGCCCCACCAGTGAGGCGCCCATCCATCCCAGGGTGACCTGATCCTGCCGTGGGCCTGATCCTGGGTGGGACGGGCCACGCCGTTGACAGGCAGCTGTGGAGCCCCAGCACTGGGACCACTCTGCTCAGAGCCTGCAGCTACACAGGCAGATCCATTTCAGAGGGAGACAAGGGGAGCCCCAGACACAAAGCCTAGGCACAGAGGAGGGGCTTCTCCTTCCCTGCTGCCCCCTGCATTGGCCAGGCCTGTCCCAGGCGGGGAGCTGCCCTGGACACAGCCACCCTAGCATCAGCCCCATCCACAGCCTCCACCCTTTCCTGGCCCCACAGGATGCTGACCAGCAGCCAGGTCAGAGCTCCTGTGAAATTCCTCCTTAAACCAGGGCAGACCAGGGGAAATGAGCCAGCCCTCCCAGCGCTCTTCTGGTCCCCAGGGCTGTCCTCTCTGGCCTCTGGGAGGGCATTTGCATTTCAGTGGCCTCCTGGGCAGCTCAAGCACCTCCCACAGGCGGCCAGAGCCCTGCGATCTGCCCCGGGGGCTGAGGGATTTACTGGGGGCAACCCTGTTCTCTGCTTAATGAAAATGATCTTAAAATTACTTCTGTTTAAATGGAGACTCCTTTAAGGGGATATAAAGTGTATCAAGCACTCCTAGCCAATGTTTGCGAAGGGTTCTTGCTTTCTGTTCTTTTGACTATTTGCAGGGTGGAGAGGCAGGGCTGGGGAGTCCCTGACATGGCCACAGAGCACCCACATCCTGGGGGTGTGGGAGGAGGACACAGCCAGTCCCCCTGCCGATCGCTCATCCCCAACACCCACAGACCAACGGATGGCCAGCCCAGGGCAGTGCATGTGCCAGGGCACACTCTATGCCACTTGCTCCCCCTCAGAGAGGGCAGCACAGTCTTTGCTGTAGCTTCAGGGGTCCTGTAGCTCCAGGCAGGCAGGGAGGCCCACACCATGACAGCCATGCCAGGCTGGACCAGGTGGGACAAGGAGGCAGGAGGTGACGCCCACTCCCCATCCCGCAGAAGACAGAATGAAGGGCAGCAGAGCGGCCAGAGCCGGCCCAGGCCCCATCCCAGGCCCCCATCCTGCACACTCAGTGCTGGCCCCACCCTGTCTACCAGGACCGTCCCTGGACTCCTGTCCAGCCCGCCATAGGCAATCCCCCAGTGTGGAGTGGTGGTGCGTGCTCAGAGGACAGAGACCTCCAGCCTCCACAATCTAGGGGGCAGGAGTGTGGAGAGCCACGGCCTAAGCCAGGGACCTGCACGGGTCATGGACGGTGGCCGCAGGGCAAGGAGAGGAAGCTGTGCGTGCTGGAGACCATAGGACCAGTCCCGCCAGCCTGGACCCCCACTTCAGCAGCTCTGAGGACACCAGGCTTTGCTGGGACTGCAGATGTACTGTCGATGGCCCATGTGGACATCAAACTGTACCCGAACAGACACTGAGGGCCTGGGCAGGCAGGTGTGGGTCACTGGTGATCACGGGCCATGCACAGAGCATTTAGATGCACACAGGGGTGTGTCCCCTCAGCCAAGCACATGCCAAAACCAAAAGGGTGAAATGGCCTCTCTTGGAGGGAGAGGGGAGGCTGCGGACAGTGTCCTGACAGAACCGAAGAAGAACGGGGGCTGACCACAGTGCACGCATGTGCTTGAGCCACCATGGACTCCACCCTGTGTGGAAACGAGCTCTGAGATACTGCAATAAACCTGTGTCCACACTGTGTAAGGATCTGCTGTGACTCCAGCAGAGAGGCTGGGCAGAGTCCTGCTGGCCACGGGGTACGCCTGAGCTGCCAGCACACCCTGACCGCAGGAGGGTGGTCTGAGAGCTGGGAAGGTACCAGAAGCACTGGCATGTGGACACACCCCGCCCTCCTCTGCCTGAGCTCTGGTTCTGCGTGTGCACAGTGGTGTGCAAGCATACGTGTGTGCTGTGTGCTGGGGTGTGGGAGTGCATACGGAAGTGCACGTGTGTGCAGTTCTGAAGGTGTTCACTTCTACCACAACATGCTACAGGAAGATGGAGTCTACTGCGACTCGTCCAGGGAGAGGTTGAGAGCCCTGGCTAAGAAACAAAGCCCAAACGAGCAAAGTCGGCCATGAGCAGACACCCAAGACTGCGAGAGGAGAGAGGACCAGCTCAGGACCCCAGGGAGGAGAGGAGACCCAAAGAGAAAGGACCACCCAGGACCCCAGGGAGGAGGGGAGAGAGAAAGACAGAGGTCCAGGACAACTCTCCAGGGACCAGAGGAGAGGAGGGGAGGGAGGACCACCCAGGACCCCAGGGAGGAGGGGAGAGAGAAAGACAGAGGTCCAGGACAACACTCCAGGGACCAGAGGAGGGGAGAGAGGACCACCCAGGACCCCAGGGAGGAGAGGAGAGGAGGGGAGGGAGGACCACCCAGGACCCCAGGGAGGAGGGGAGGGAGAAAGACAGAGGTCCAGGACAACTCTCCAGGGACAAGAGGAGAGGAGGGGAGGGAGGACCACCCAGGACCCCAGGGAGGAGAGGAGGGGAGAGAGGACCACCCAGGACCCCAGGGAGGAGAGGAGGGAGAAAGACAGAGGTCCAGGACAACTCTCCAGGGACAAGAGGAGAGGAGGGGAGGGAGGACCACCCCAGGACCCCAGGGAGGAGAGGAGGGGAGAGAGGACCACCCAGGACCCCAGGGAGGAGAGGAGGGAGAAAGACAGAGGTCCAGGACAACTCTCCAGGGACCAGAGGAGAGGAGGGGAGGGAGGACCACCCAGGACCCCAGGGAGGAGAGGAGAGGAGGGGAGGGAGGACCACCCAGGACCCCAGGGAGGAGAGGAGGGAGAAAGACAGAGGTCCAGGACAACTCTCCAGGGACAAGAGGAGAGGAGGGGAGGGAGGACCACCCAGGACCCCAGGGAGGAGGGGAGGGGGAAAGACAGAGGTCCTGGACAACACTCCAGGGACCAGAGGAGAGGAGGGGAGGGAGGACCACCCAGGACCCCAGGGACCAGAGGAGAGGAGGGGAGGGAGGACCACCCAGGACCCCAGGGAGGAGAGGAGGGGAGAGAGCACCAGAAGGTCTCCAGTGACCTCTGTTTGCCGCCCTGCAGGTCTGACTGGACGCAGCCATCCCTCTAGCTTAGGGCAGTGCTCGCTGGGAGGGTTGAGAGGTACCCGCCCTTTGGTGGGGCGGAGGGACTTGAGCGAGGCCCCCCTCCTTGGGTGGGCTCTCTCAGCAGAAACAGCCCTGTTTAAATCAGGAAATCGAGTCTCGTGAGTTTTCTCTCATGTCGAAGCTAGAGAGGAGGAAGGGAAAGGAATCTGGCATCTCCTGAAACAGAGGCAGGTCCCCTGCGTGCGATGGCGGGGTAGAGGTGCCTGTGTCACGCGTGACGTCACCTTCCAGTTCTGCAGTTACAAGGCCTCTGGCTGCAGGAGGAAGCAGCTCCCTCGTTGCGTTTCCCACATTTCCAGATTACAGGGGGGACTCCTGATGTACGAGCACACGTCATGGGGGAAGGCCACGGGTCCCTCCTCGCCCCGGGAAGAGCTGGTGTGGGCTCCTGTGCTGTTGAGTCCACACAGACCATCTGTCCCTCCGTCCTGCGGTGGCTCTCGTGGAATCGGGTCATGTGGCATGGAGGCCCCACAACCTGCTCTTTCCAGTGGAGGCAGGGAGGGGGACTGGTCACCTGAGCACACAGCACTGTGTCACTTTATTTCTTTTTTTAATTTTTTGTGAGAGTCTTGCTAGGTTGTCCAGGCTGGTCTCCAGACCACGACCCTCCTGCCTCAGCCTCCTGTGGCTGGGAGGACAGGCCTGCCACACCACGCCCAGCTCAGAGCTGCCATGTCCTGCGCGTGGGCTCGGCCAGGAGTGTCGGTGGCTTTGTGTGGAATGCTGGAGTTGTGGCTGTGCCCAGGACAAGCTGCTGAGGGTGGGAACGTGGGCTGAAGGTGTGTCACTGGCCGGTGTCTGCCCCAGGCAAGGCGGCGCCGGTGGCTCTGCAGCCACTCTGAAGGCACCGCGCTCACCAGTCCAGGCAGGGTTTCTCCTCTGGGGGATGCCCAGGACGCAGCCCCCTTTGATAGGTGTGTCTTTATTCACAGAATGGTGAGCAGCTTGTCTTTGGGAGAGTTTCTAACTGTGGTTTGGAGCCCAGCCTCAGCCTGACCCACTAACACCTGCACAGCGGGAGCTCCTGCTGCTCCTGCGCCAAGCCCCCGGCCATTTACAGAGTAACTCCTTTATTCTTGGGAAACGGGGACAGCTCAGGAATCTGCCACTCGGGGCGGAGGCAGGAGTGCTGGGCTGTGTTGCCCCAGTGTTGCCTGAGAGCGGCGAAGCCGCGTGGGCACGTGGGCTACAAAGGATTTAGGGCATCCTTTATGCAGGCTTCCTTTGTGCTCTCCAGGGACTAGCAAGGAAAGTGGAGCAGGTGGCCACAGTCGGCAGGGGGTCTCCCGCTCAGGAAAACAGTCCCTCCTCCACCCACCCAGGATGTCACATGGACCCTGCCACTAGTCCTCGGCAGGACACTCACCCCGCAGGGCCACGGCTGGGACCTCTGCTGAAGCTGCTTCTGTTCACCTGGAACTGAAGTGCCAGAGGAGAAGGTGCACCCCCGGGACGCGACGGCGGAGCAGGAAGGCCGAGGGGGCGAGCCGCCTCCCGCGAAGGTTGCACCTGAGGGTCTAAGACGTCAGCAGGGAGTCCAGTGCCCTAGGTCCCACAGCTATCGTGGTTCAAGTGACACAACACGTAGAAGTGCTGATGTCCAGATAATAAAGGTGACTCCACAGTCTTTCAGATTCAAACACACGCTGCCATAAGACCCCACCGAGGTACCCGGGGCACGAGCAGTTCTTTCCCCCAATTCCAACCACAGCAGTGACCACCTCAGGGGCAGTAGCTGCAGGTGACCAGGTCTGCAGTGTCCAGCAGGTAGCTCAGAGAGGAGTCCCAGGGAAAAGAGGGCGGCAGGAGAGAGAGGCGCTTCCCCAGGACACGGCCAGGCAGCCCAGGATGTGCACAGCAGCTGCTCCGTGCAGGAGAGGGCGAGGGCTGCCCAAGCCTGGAGCTGGGCCGGCCCCACCCCGACAACACCTGAGGGGAGAGCTTGCCGGAAGGGAGGCTCCCGCGGGCTCCACCTGGTCACGGCTCCCCGGGGCCTACACGAGGCCGAGCGCCACGAGAAGGGCGAGGCGGGCAGCGGCTCAGCTGACAGGGGCTGGGAAGCCGAGAAAGGAAGGAGCCGGGGCCAACTGAACTTTCCGGCCCGCCACTAGGGTTCCAGCACTTCCCCCAGCGCCGTGATGATGGATCCATCATGAATGAATCCAACCATGAGGCCGGGCCCTCGTGGCCAGTCACCTCCCCAGGGACTCAACATGGTACCCTGGGACTTCCATTCATGAGCACTGACATCCCAGATCCAAAGTTGACAAACCACCTCTGCATGGTGCCGCCAACACCAGAAGGCTGACAGGGCCAGGGGAGAGCTGGGGGCTGTCCATCCAAGCAATCACCCCGAGGGCCAGGAAAGGGCTGAGGGGCATGCCAGGCCCAGGTCAGGAACAGCAAGGCAGGGTGCAGGATAGAGGCAGAAAGGGGAGGAAGCCCAAAGAAGGAAGGGACCACATGTGAGGGCCATCACGGCCATCACGGCCCGAGCAGCAGAGCAAGCCCCTCCCAGGACCTTTGGGAGCAGCGACAGGGGAGGTGGTTAGGAGTTGGACCCCACAGCCAGCCTGGGTGGCCTGGAACCCTCCCCAACCTGGCACACAGGAGCTGCAGCAGAGGTGACCACACCTGGGCGGGGATGTGCCGGGCTGTATCCACACACTGCGGCCCAGCCTGGCTGTGGCTCTGGAGCCAACACAGACCACTAGGGACATCAATGGAAACAGCTTCACAGGACCCCGGGGACCTGCACCACCTGGCCCCAGGGGACTGAGTCTCACTGTCCTCATTGTCAGGACTCATGCTCATCACAACCTCACAGAGCAGGGAAAATCGCTGTCCCTGGCACAGACAGGAGAGAGATTGTCACTCACTCCAAAGAGTGTGCCCTGGAGCTGGGCACCAGGAGGTCTGCCGTCCCAGCCCCGGGCAACTGTGTGCACCACAGCTGGGCTCTTGATGACCACTCTACCAAAATAATGAAAGGCAAAGAAATAAGAGAAAGTCTACACCCTTCTGGAACTTTTTTAAAAAAATTAAAGCTGGACAGCTTGATTGCCTATAAAATGTCACACGTCCAGTGACAGTGCAAGTAAGTTCAGGGCTGTACCATCAGTGTGAGGTGGTGTGAGTCGAGGTCAGGGCTGTACCATCAGCATGAGGTGGTGTGAGCCGAGGTCAGGGCTGTCCCATCAGCGTGAGGTGGTGTGAGCCAGGGTCAGAGCTGTACCATCAGCGGGAGGTGGTGTGAGCCAGGCTCAGGGCTGTACCATCAGCATGAGGTGGTGTGAGCCAGGCTCAGGGCTGTACCATCAGCATGAGGTGGTGTGAGCTGGGGTCTGGGCTGTACCATCAGTGTGAGGTGGTGTGAGCTGGGGTCAAAGCTGTACCATCAGCGTGAGGTGGTGTAAGCCAGGGTCAGGGCTGTACCATCAGCATGAGGTGGTGTGAGCTGAGGTCAGAGCTGTACCATCAGCGTGAGGTGGTGTGAGTTGGTGTGAGCCGGGGTCAGGGCTGTGCCATCATCATGAGGTGGTGTGAGCCAGGCTCAGGGCTGTACC